CACACACACACACACACACACACACACACACACACACACGGCTGCTGTCAGCCAAGAGGAGTGCTTCTGCTAGGTTTAAATCGTGGGATTTAATATTTATTATAATGTTTTCTTCTCTGATACTGTCTCTAAAATAAATCCCTGAACTCAACTGCATTTGACAGCAGTTTCACTGCTTCATCAGATGTTTATTCTCTTTATGCTTTTTTTTTTTTTTTCATTTTATTATTTCATGATTTTTCTGGCTGGAAAGCAGTAAGCTTATTTTTTTTATATTTATATGTAATTTTCTATTTATTTATAGAGGGTCCTGTGAAGTCCAGACAGGAAGTTCACTTAACATGTGTAATATGTTTCATTAAACTAGAAAAATTAGAAATGATAAAAAGGTAAAGCCACAGATTAGTTTGCTTTGTTGTTATCTGTGCTTTAAATAAATCTTACTTTGTTTATTGCTTCTGTTTGTTGAAAAATACTTGAGAAGACATTTAAAAAATAACTATATTAAATCCCAATTTATAGATAAAAAATTGCAAATCTTTCAGTCCTAGTACAATGTGACGTGGTGACAGAGATGGTCTTACTTTGCTAGTAGTTCTATTAGGTCTTGTCTGCTCATGCCATCTGGTATCAGTCTTGGAATCGCAGCCACGCATGTCCGGAACAGATCGATCTTCGGTTTCCTTTCTCCTCTGCAGTATCATTATCAAACAGCTTGAATATTTCAGAATCATAGAGAGTAAATGTGTTTCTAAGTTGTGTGCACCTACGTAATCATGTCCTCAGGCTCCTTGTTGGACATCTGTACGCTGGTCATGCTCATGGAGCGTCCCACTTCCTTGTCCAGGTGTCGCAAAATGTTATCCAAAGCCTTTCTTACTTGTGGATAGTACATGGACATGCCTAAAACCAGACATCAAAGTTAGAAGATTAATTAAATACTCAAGTAGAATCAAATATACCGTATTTTTGGACTATAAGCCGCGACTTTTTTCCTGAACTTTGAACCATGYGGCTTAYGGTGCGTTCACACGAACGCGATTTCAGYGTCAGGAGCATCAGGTTTACATACAAAGTCTATGGTGGACGCGCTTCAAGCAACGTCGGGAAGTTCTGCGGCGCCTCAAGCGCGATTAGAGCAGCGCGATTTGAACGATTTGAACGATCTGAGCGTTCGATGCGCTGAG